GAAGATTGGGAAATTCCAGGCCCTCCCCTTCTGATGCTCCCCGGGATATTCAACCCTCCTGGTTTGGAGTACCTTAACCCCCCCCCCCCCCCGACTCATGTGGCCCCACCACCTCTCTCCCCCAAGAGCAGCACGTCTTAAGATTAATAACTAAAAGAACATAAAGGACATTCCACCCTCTTTGTTTTGGGAAATCCCCCCCACAACCCCTACCCGGCCTCAACGGGGTCCGCTCATAAGTCCGACGCCTCATAAGTCCGACAAAATCACAGCCCCTAACCAAATAAAGGCCCATAAGTCCGACGCCTCATAGGTCCGACGCCTAATAAATCCGACGCCTCATAGGTCGACGCCTCATAGCTCCGACGCCTCGTAAGTCCGACACTCGTTTTTCCGTTGTCGGACTTTTGAGGCGTTGGACTTATGAGGCGTCGGATCTATGAGGCGGAATAAATAAAGTCCGACGCCTCATAAGTCCGAAATTTCGGACTTATGAGGCGTCGGACCTATGAGGCGTCGGACTTATGATACGGTCCCGCCTCAACCCCGGCCCGGTCCATGATATCGCAGTAAAAGAAAGTCTGGTCGGGAACGTCATTGCACCAAATTAAAAGACAAACTTCACTTGTTGGAAAAAACAATTTCAGCCCTCTTGGCGTGGTTTGAACACCACGCTCCGCCCCCCCCCCCACCGCCCCATCCCCAGGGTCGGAATATGGTATCCAGGGCAGGGGAAAGGAAAAAAAGAAAGTGGTATTCCCAATAATAAAGTCACATCATTTATCAGAAAACAAAACATCTTGATTATTTGGTGACTGCTCTATGTTCCGACACCCCTATGTTCCGACAACCTAGATTGTGTTACTCCCGGTTAGGGTTAGGGTTAGGAATAGGAATATGTGCAGTCGGAACATAGGGGTGTCGGAACATAGAGGTGTAACCGATCATTTTATTAATCTTGGGTTTTTATTAGAACGCGCGCGGTGCCGGCGGGCCGGATATAGCCGGCGTGATCAATAATTGACAATCATTCGCAATTTTTGGCAGTTCCAGTGATAAACTTCCATGCATTTTGCTCGCGACCATCGCACTATTAAACCGACCACCCACTTAGGCCACACCATTCACCAGCTAAAAAACTCAACTACTCGGAATTAATTCATTTGATTTCAAACAAAATGTTGGAAGGAAGAAAAACAGGATTGAAAAGATGGACTCCCTTGGACAATACGAAGTTTGAGTTCCAAAAAGGAAAACGCGAAAACAATATTTTAATCGTCAAAACTCACCCTTTCATTTTGACGCTGTCTTCGGCAAAAGGAAGCGGACATCATTCTGTTGCTTTCAGCATGTAAATTTCTGGCAGGTGCATCCTCCGATGTAGGCCTACAGTGATATTATTCATAAAACTGAAGGAGTCTGGCCGAAAATTGGCCGAAGTAGATGGCATGCGCGTCAGCAAGAATTTCATGATGATGCTATAATGAGCGGCGCTGTTTACCTAATTTGCATATCAAGATTTCTGTGTTGGTGGGGGCCCCCACCACCCACCGGCCACTAGGGTCGGGATATGTTGCAAGGACCGAAAAAAAGAAAAGGAAATGTGAAATTCCACCCTCCTCCTTTTGAGCCCCCCCCCCCGGATTTTAAGCTTCCTGGTTTTGAGTACTCTACCCCCGACCCCCCTCTACACTCACGAGGCATCCTCCCCCACGCCCCCCCCCCCTCCACCGGCAACCCCTTATGTGCACTCCCCTTCCATGGAGTCCTGATATGGTGCAGGTGTTAGAAATGAAAGACAGGAAATATTCCATTATCCTGGTTCTCAGTACCCCCCTCCCGTTCCTTTCCCCCCACCCAGGGGACCCCACCCCACCCCTCAAGGTGTTTGGATATATGCAATGGCCCTTCACCCAAAGAATGTGCATATTCCACCCACTGTGTCTTTGTTCCCCCGCCCCCACCCATCCCCTCCCCCTCCCCCTCCCCCTCCCCCACCCCACCTGCAGGCCTCCCCCGCCCCACCCGCGGGCCATCCCCACCCCAACCCACCGCCCAACCCCGTCGCATCGGGATACAGGGGAAAAGGGACAGAAAAAAAGAGACACACACACATTTCATCAAACGGGATCCCTTTAATCAAACGGGATCCCTTTAATCTTCGTAACCGTCTTCCACTGAGCTATATATATCTCATGCACGTTGCACGTGTTTATATCACGTGATTACTTCACTATCATTCGCAATTTTGGGCAGTTCTAGCGAGCAATTTTTATGCATATTGCTCGCGACCATCGCCGTATCAGACCGACCACCCACATGTGCCACACCACTAAAAAGCTGAAAACCTGTTCTATATGGAACTAATTCAGGTTTTCCCCAACCAAATTCGAGAAGAAAGAAATTTAGGATTAAAAAGATGGACTCCGTCGAAAAATAAGAAGTTTTGGTTCCTAAAAAAAAACACGCTAAAAAATGTTTGAACTGTCAAAACTCAGGCAATATTTCATCGATTTTGACGCTTTCTTCGGCAAAAGAAAGCAGATATCATGAGCTTTTCTACTGTAAATTTCTGGCATGTTCACTCTCCGATGCATAATGATTTCATTCATAAAACTGAAGTGAGTCGGGCTGAAATTGATGGCATGAGCGCAAGCACGAACTCAACGTTGACGTCATAATGAGGGGCGTGTTGACCCCAATTTGCATAGGTGAATTTTCGCGATAAGTTTGTATGTGCGGCGGACAGTTCCGTGGTCTAGTGATGATGCTTTCCACGTCCCATAGCTTCATATTATGAAGCCCAAAAATATACAATACACTAAATCATAGACCCATAAACAATGCTTTGTTGTTTACCGAGTTTACAGGTCAAACTAAATCAGAATTATTGGTGGATTTCGGTTGCCGTCATACATGACATAAAGCCGGCCGGCGAACCGAACAATCGCCTGATGATGGACAGCCTTCTCTCTCGTAATAATTCCTCTCTAAATTATTTACATGTCGATTTATTTCAGATAACATCTCAATGAAATTAAGTTAAATTAATCCCCCCATAAGGTTTACTTTTACTCTAACTGTGCTCCATGTTAAAACTAATACAGGCAATACAAAGCCGTACAAGTAATCAAAAGTTATTATTTAAACAATATTATTATGTCTTCATGGCGTTCCATACTTCCGAATTGTTTTTTTCCCCTTGTAAACAAAAATATCGAGTGCAGTGGTCAATACGAGGGCGTGCTACATGTATTCACATGATGAACACATGTCGCGCCCGGCCCCTGCATACGAGTTCATGTGATGAACATGTGCGACACGAGTTAAAAGTCTTATCATTTTGTTTCCTCCGTCCTTTCTTTTGTAACATTTCCATTAAATAAAAGTTAAGTTTCTGAGGGAAACGTGAAGTGAGGAGGCACAAACTGTTATAGACAATAAAACAAAAGGGAAAAGAAAACACCCCAGCTGGCCCTGCATTACAAAACCTATTAAAAGTATTATTTCGCCAACCCTCGGCATCAGTTTTATTGCTCTGTTATATCATGGAGGAATAAGAAACAATATATCGATAAATGAAAATTATGAAATAATATTTTTGAACCGGTCTGGCCATCACATCATGCATGTGGGTTTAAAGCTCCATGCGTGTACTTTAATTGAAGTAGTGAGCCACTTACTGACTTAGTGCTCAATTCCGGCTTTGTTTGCAGTGCACAATCTCTTTTTCCTCTTTTTCCTCACCGTCCGTAATTCCCCCCCCCCTCCCCGTTTCGTCCCTCCCCCTTATGACCCCGCCCTACTTTTATCCCCTTATCCTCCCCTTGACCTATTTCACACGTGAGATGTTTATGTGTTTGCCTTGCCTGCATGCCTGCGTATCTCAGCCTGTGTTCTATGCCCTGAAGGGTGGGAGTGACATGACATGTTATCCCCTCCTAGTAGGCAGCTGTCATCCTTTTTCCTGTCCTCGTGGTTTACTTGTTGTTTGTTGTTGTTCTTTTATCTGTTTTGTAATATGTATTTTGTAGTTGTTTTATTTTGAGTATTTTTATCTGATGGTATTATACTTTGTATTTTTTTGCTTGAATAAAGTACTATTATTAGAATGAAAATGCTAGCTGCAATTGCTCCAATCACTGCACCGTTTTCCACCGGCCGTTCCGTCACCGCAGCGCTTCATAACGACTTCAAGATGTGAAATCGAAGAAAAGTTGTTGGCAATAGCGCTGGTATATTAGTAAAGCTACCATAGTGATTTAAAATTAAATGTAAATACAAAAAAAACGCGACGTCGGTAAGTTTCAAGTAACTTCACGATGAAGGATTTCCCAAAGAGTAAATGTGTAATTTGTACAATCGATTTTGGAGTAAAGACATAAAATTGTCGTGATGGCTGCATGCTATTGAATCATTATATTATCACAGTGTATTATGTCAGGGTCACCCACACTTCGCAAATTGAGAGTGATATGATTTCTAATTGGTCAATGCGTTTGTGCATTGTTGCATGTATGGATTCATTAGGCCCGCCCACTCACGTGGGTAACAAAACGTGCCGTTGACCCGGTCATTATACGAATGTACGCATGTCAGACCATCACGGCTGTACTGTGATTGGTCAAAAACATCATGCGGCGGGGCCGGGCTTAGTGGATAATTGCTCTAAATATTGGGATCAATTATATTACACACGTCACGCACCGTAGGACTCGTTCTAATGCATCTGACGTCATATGTCTTTGTTCCTGCGATATTACCATAGCTCTATAGATTACACATGAACAGACACATATACTGCAATTTAATTTATCATTGAATATTAAACAAAAGCGGCCTCTGTGAGGGTACACGGTCAAGGGTTCAAGACTACTCCTTCCTTCATGATAATACTCAATCCATAAAAAGTGTAGTCACAAGTTCTATCTACCCATTTCAAATTTCTGCATGCAATAAAGGTAATTAATTGAATGAAAACAGAATGATCGCATTCAAAATTCGGGACTTTGCCATGTTTCATCAATAAGTAATTTATTGCAGCAGTAATCCAATGAATACTCGGCTTTGTTTAGCTGTTGTAAAATTGGATAAAACAAATCACATGATGAACAAAATATGATTACGGTCATTCACCATCGGAACCCCCTTTAACTGGAATAGGTTTTGCACAATTCCAATGTAAACACTGCATTCTTAAGACCAACATTTAAATTTAACTTAGTCACAAGTCATTGTAGTAGTTTATTATAAATTCCCAAACAAACCATTTCGTTTTGAAATCATTTGTCACTGAACAAAACCTTATCTTTTCGCATGATTTGAATTAAGTTCCATGGAAAACCTATCCAACTGCGTTGAAACTCATTTATTATTTCTAAGCCCACTATGTTTCATCACATGCATTTCAAATTCAAGTTCGTTCTATTTTTTTTCAAGGCTGCTCATTCATAAGATCATGAATGATCCTATGATCTAGAATTTGAAAGGCAAATATAATATATGTGCATTATATTCACTAGGAATCTAAATAAATTATACATACATATATACATGTACACGCCCTTTGTCTGATACAGTGTTACAATAAAAATGTTTTTTTTGGTCCTGTCATGGCAAATTTTCATACCATTGCAATTTTTCATATAACACTTTTTTATTTACCATGTAGTCAAACATTTGATAGTGTTTCATGCTCAGTTGAGAAAGGCTTGCTTATTGCTGTTTGGAAAACTTGTTGATTTGCTAATGGTTTCAACTACTACAAAAAACTATGTGATCTGCAAAACAATGAATACTACTATTGGTAGAAATATATGGTCTGTTATGCAAATTATATTTATACATCACTTTTTAACTTTCCAATAATACAATGACAATTTGAAATGACTTCACAGCTAGACTGATTTACTCATTAAAACTTGTATTCGTGAATTTACATTGGAATGTCTCTTGTTAGACTAATATTGTGCAAAAAAAGTAAGAGAGAAGCAAATTTTCTAATAGATTTTGTTCTATGCTGAACTAAGTTGTCCACTAGTGTGTGCTTGATGATGTCATTCCATGACTCTCCCACAAAGCGGGCGACATGCCCATAAAGTGGGTAACACGCCCATGAAGCCGGCAACAGGGAGCAAAGCTTCCTCCCCTGTGAAGCCTGCAAGGTGCAGCCTCGTTGATCATAAAGAGTAAGAAAGGTTAGCAGACCTCTTCAGTGTCGAGCTGTGCAATGGCCAGCATGCCATGATGTACCACTCACGCCCTAGCAAGGGTGCCATTACTAGAGATGAATTCCTCTAACACATGCAGGACACTCTGTGTATCCTGAGATGTGATTGTGTTCTCATCTTTCCAGATGTGGCGTAAGAGAACACCACCATTCCCACAATCCCGTAGGAAGGCAAAGGCTCTGTGTAAGGACAAAAACGTAAGAAAGGAGAGCACTGATTAATAATAATAAATCGGGGTGAAATCTCGTTTATTTTCAAGTGTTGCGGTGTCTGTTTGTCCATTTTGTCTTTTGTCTGTGGGTTTTCTTTTCTGTACAAAGCAGCTTTAGTTCACAAGAAAGCAGGCCAAGATGTCCCACTGTTACTGAAGTACAAAACATGTGACATTGGAAGGTTTCACGCCAAACTATCACAGTAGGTGGGAAAAGACCCTCAACAGATTAGCTCTTTCTCACCTATAGAGGGCGTAGTGGTCAGATTCTGCTTGTCTGACAAGACGTTTGAGGGTATTCAAGTCTTGAATCGTGCGCAGCTTACAGTCTTCAATAATCTGCCTCAGATTGGCTGGGTTCTCCCTGTTGCTTGTCAGCAATAGCCGTGTCCACTCTTCACAAAATGGACTGCTCTCTGAAAAAAACAACATCATTATTACAGACCAGGGGTGTGATTGGACAAAAATGAACAATCCACGAACTTCGGTTGACATGTAATATACATGTACATGTAATATACATGTACATGTACATGTATTATTGTACATGTACTTGTATAGATGTACATGTATACATATGCATGCACGTATGTCCATATATAGGCCCTAGGGCATGTACATTTTATGTACTGTAATTTCTGTAATGTTAGCAAATTTTGTCGCTTCAGTAAAGAAAACAAATGGGGGAAAAATTAAGAAAAAATCGTCTGGTCATTTAATAATATAATCCATATGTGATTGATTCATAAAGGCTTTTTCTGTGTGTACTGTGATGTTATTACTTTTGCATGTTGCAGAGAGAAACGATTCACACAAAACAATATGAACGGTGCTGAAAAAAGTTTAATCTTACTTTAATTTAAACTCCAGTCCCAGGCTTCAAAAACATTTTTGAAATTTGGTGTTGGTGGTGGCTATTTTTCAAAACACTACTGCAGCCCAAACTGATTTCCATCCACAGTGACACTTTATTACCAGTTCTTCCAGCCATACTCTTGAATTCCTTGACAAAATCGCGGCAATATTGACACCAATGTGTTTGCGAATTGCTAGCACACGATCGTAACTGCACAGTACATGCACAATACACACACACATATCCACACGCGATATACAAACACGGGGTGCTGCAAACCCATTGAAAATTATTTTTAGTCTGGTCCTCAAGTACTCCACTGCGCATACTGCATTAATGTCTACTAGGTTTTTGACCGCACTGCATTAGACTTGTCACCAGTCCATCCATTATCGTAAATTAGAGCCTATATTTCGCCAGAAGTTTTTGGGCAATATTATTACGGAAACAGAAAAACATTAAAAATCCGGAATCCGCAAAAAAATTCCGCAGGCGTTAGATTAAAAATCCGGAAATGCGGAAAAATCCGGAAAAATCACACCCCTGACAGACAGCTCTAGTGAGGGTGGGCAATCCTGCTAACATTCTAGGTCAAGATGTACGATTCAACTTTGAAGACTGTCATAGTTGAGAAATGCAACAGACATGACATTGGAATAAACTTTTGTATGCACTAAAATATCATTGAGAAAATAATTAAAAGCAATATTTCCTTTGGGTTGCTATATGAATCTACCATTCCTGTTCTCAAAATTAATTCTTACCAGCATTTTGAAATTGTTGTGTGTCTCCATCAAACACTAGCTGGACAAGACGTAGTGAGTTAGAAACCGTCTTTCCATCAGACTGATGTGACACACTGGCACTGGCATCCAGATCAATCAATGTTGGTTCTGATGAAGTGGTGCCTTGAGAATTGGAATCACTGTCGCTCATGTGTTGGAGAAGGTCTGATAAGCTACACACTTGTACAAATCTACACAAGAACAGCAGTTAACACAATTAATGCCATTTAATGATGTTTGGTGTTTTATGTTAAGGTTTCTCAACGTTAGGTGTCCTGCCTCCCCTAGAACTTTTCCAAAGAGTAACACCCCCACCCCTAACAATGCCTGCCTACGTTACTACGGTATTCATGTACTTACTTCATAACATCTGATACCACTTCTTCATCTCCTCCAAGGAAATTCAGCTTGTCATCCAGTAGTGCCTGAACAAGAGATGAAACACAAAGCAAATAATAGGACAAGGATTTTGGCAAGCTGTAAACACTATTGGTCGATGCAGCATTGATAGTGCATGCTACATCTGGCAGAGTGCGGTGCCACCTGACTGAGGACTACCTTCCAAACCAAAAACTGAAGGTGCTCTTAGGAGAGCGAGATGCGATATTGTACTCCCTGATTCCCCTCAACCTAGCCCCACCCACCCCTGGGGCTAACCCTGATAACTGATGTTATCTTACCGTGTGTATAAGTAATGAGAGATCTTCTTGGAATCTGTCTGTACACCGGCACACATATTCTGCAGCTTGTTGATACCATCTCGCCAAGTAGCTTTGTATCTTTGTCAACTCCTTAGCCTTTGGGTAAGAGCGAAAAATACGCAATTACTGGCTTGAAAATCCCAAGGAATTATTTCGGAACTAAGATGAATCCAACAACAGTAAATTATAAAGACATTTGGTGTAGCAAACTGCGGAATTTATTTTCCTAGTTGCATTGTTGGTTTTACACCTACCTCAGAATCCAAGACAGCAAGAAGGCCTTCGCTATAGGCATCTAACTCAGGTCTGAATGTGTTGTAAGTCAAGAAAATATTACACCTTTGATATACTGTGGTGTCAAGAGCGTAACAGTGAACAATCTTGATTGCGTAAAAAGGATTTATTAGATAAGAAAGTGTTAAGGATATAGTTCCAGAGCAGCGCTTGTTCCCATTAGGAAACAGATGACATATTCAATGGATGTGTAGAATGTACTGGGTGGATCATCAGGGTCCAAGTCCGATTCAGGAATGGTTTGTTGTCTCAGGAGGTAGTAGTAACAGGACAAAACATCATTGCTGTCAAACAGAAGGGGACAAAAAATTTTTCATTTATTGGTCATGAATCTGAAGTAGATACTCAACAAAAAATTTGTGGAATTTTGTGTAAGGATATGTAAATTTTAGTAGTAGAGTCACCGCTTACCTTGATGAAGGTCAAAACCAAATATTAATATCAATATACTTTATCAAAGCTGACTAAGATACATGTAAGATTCATTCATTTGAATGCATAAATGTAAAAAAAAAAAAAAAATAAATACTAAAATACTTAATGAAGTAGATTTCTCGAGCTTTGATGTCACTTCCATTTGGCCCACACCATTTTTTTCAGCTTTAGGAGACATCTCAAGTTTTCCAGGTACGCATGGGTGAACAGACATAAAAATAGAAGAATACGAAACACTGAATCACCTGATATCTACAGTGTTGACATTACCACTGCCTCCATACACAGTTCCTCTTGATAGCCTCTTGAAGATGAACTCTCTTAGCTCAGTTTCCTGCTCTGCAACAAGGTCAGTGGCGATAACGGACAAACTGCAACAGAACAGTAGGCCTAGTAAAATGGAATACTACTGCAGCAGTGATGGAATCACCTGTGATGTTGAGAACATTTCATTCTTTGTGAATAACTGTAGACAATACACAATGATAGTGTTTTTGTTTGAGTATACTGAGCAGTTGAACACATGAAACCACTGCTGTTTTTGCAAGAAAAGGAAAACTGGCATGACTGGAATAACATTGTATGCATGGTATGCTTGTAGGCCTAGTATTACCTAAAATCTCTGTTGGAAGTGGCTTCCCTCTGAAGAAAATTTGCAACTGTTGAATCATTTTTGTCAACATCTGGTCCTAGGTCTTGAACACTGGGCCTGAATAATGGATTAACACAAATACAATGTCAAATAAGGGAACTAAATTCACTTTTAAATTATTTGACCTGCCAAACTAGTTGGCAACATTAATCACATACAGGTATGTCATAGATAAAGGGCAGGGTTTTGAATTTTTGAGGGAAATTTCGGGGGAAAATGACGATGACAATGAAAGAACGCAACACGAAAATAAAGATAGCGATCAGCGCACAATGTACCGTGAGCACGCAAGTCGCGCTGCACCAACCGGCCCGTAAATCACGTAGGAAAATCGTAATTTCTACCCCAAGAAACTGTTCAAAAATTACCAAAAAGGTGTCATTACATTTACATTAAGAGAAGTCTGCTTTAGGTTGACAGTGTCATTTTTTAGTAATAAAAACAATATTGATTCTAATTTGATCAAAACAAAACAGGGTCCTTACACTACACGATCGCCATGTCAATGACACACTTTGAAGTTTGCGTTTTACTTAGTTTCACTAGCTTGATGTTTTGCTCAAATTAAACAAAAGATAAAATAAAAAGCCAACACACATCACTTCAAATTCACATTTCCAAAATACATTTTGGTCAAATCCAATTTTAAAAGTCTGTACCGCAAACTTATTTTGATGACTTGGCACACTCACCGCCACTTTAAAATGTGTGGAGTGACTTGAGCTTCTGTGTGTCGAAAATACATGCCCCATAGCATGGACAGCATACACAGCATCAGGCTGAGCCAGCTTCTAAAACAGAATATCGCATTGTTTTCACAAAACGCATCTAATAAAATAGTTCTAACAAGACTTACCTATTAGCGTGGTAGGTGTATAATGCAAAATAGTGCCTAGATTGAACATTCTGAGCGTCATCGGCAGATAAATCGGTTGTCAATGTCTTTTCAATTTCATTTGCGGCGTCCGTGTCGGCTGACATTTTGTTTTTGCAAATTCTGACGTCATAACTTCATTAAACATTTGACCAATCAGATAGCAGAATTCTTAGCACTTAGTAACAAGGCGCCATTTTTAAAGGGAAAAATTGTGGTGCTCACATTATTTACAGTGCTAGTGTTTAAAACGGCTAGAATTTAGTTCCTTCGCGCGCTTCAAATAGTGTTAGAGCTTATCACAAAATATCAGCATTCGAATACTGGGAGTAATTGCAGAATACCACTCGGAAGTACTTGTAAAGTTGTAAGTTGTGCCAAAGAACAGAAGGAGAAAATCCGAAACTTGACGAAATGGCCTGGTCGGGAGGTTTTGGGAATCAGGAAACGTGGCCAGATGGAACCCGAATCCAGAGCAATTCTCTTGGCGCCGGTCATGTGAATAATGGAGTTATACAGTTGAAAGATATTTCACCGCATGCTGCAAATACTGTAAGTGGTTCCTCAGACTTTTGTTCTACATTTTACTTTTAGCATGTTGCCTGTCAATGACAATGTCAAGCCTATCTCGTGGAACTGGAAGCATATCAATTATCATACAAAAATAGGGAGTACGAGTCAACCAGTCATGCCAGTTGACCTTATTCAAATTCAGGCATTCCTCTTCTTTTTCTTCTTCATTAAGTTCATTATTGGAGTTGTGATCGCCAAACAGCAGCCAAAGTCAATACCAAGCAAATCAGGTAAGTGAAAATTAAAGTCATGCTCATTTTTTAGGTCAACAAATTACAAATACAAAATTACAAGTCCATGATTGGGCAGGATTTTCTTTAAATTAGAAGTTAAAGGTTTAGTATTTTCACCAAAGTAGGCCTACACATGATGAATCATGAATGAACACCTGCAAAAAGATAAAGTTTTATTTTCATAGAATAAGCATTCTTTACACCTTGTTAATTCACACAGACACTGTCAAACATAATTTTGAATAATATTTTACTTTCAAAGATCCATCAACAGATCGTGGTTTGCTCAGCTTTACTTTGAGAGATTCACCCATGGATTTCATCAATGGCACATGCTGGGGTTCTGAGCTATACATACGTGACCTAGCCACAAAATTCAAGATTGGGGACATTGGTGAGTAGCCTACTCATCTTGAAGAAAACAAACGAACAGCATTTGCTGTGTTTAGTTGGGGGGAAAAAACAAAAAATCTTTAAAAAAAAAAAGGTTCATCTGATAAAGAACATAATTTATATGTAATGATGTTATTTTATCTGACATATGATTCTTAGTTTTTGTTTTCAATGTTTTAGTTGATTTACCTATTCTTGCCAGTTTGGACTGGGTTGTATTTCTGAATTAAATACAATATCTCAATCTGATTAATTTGTATAGTTGAGATTCGAAATCCTCAGATCCAGAGCAAACAGAACACAGAGCAAGAAGAGCGCTACAGACCCTGGACTCCAAGGTAAAGTCATCCTCCATTTGACTTTATAGTAGCAACAAGAACCTAGAGTCTGAATTGTGACTAAAGCAAGATCTTTGCACAGTTTCATTCTCAAAAATGTGATGACATCAATCTGAATGCAGAAATTAAGATACTGTGGTATTTAATTGCAATTTTTCATGTGTTGTTAGTTTTTTAATCTAAATGTCTGTTTATTTTATTTTTCCATTGACATACATTTCTGATAAAAAGACATCATTGTTTGATTGAAAATATTTTTGCAAGTAAATTCCTTTCCTTCTTTTCTTTAATTTTCCTACTGACACCTTTATTTCTGATGGTGAGAAAAAACTGTCCATATTTTTTGTGTTCCAATTCCCAGCCAATACCAACTAACTCTAAGTGAGAAGTATTCCACACTGAGCCTGTATGGAGGATGGAATGTGGAGATTTACAATCCTCTCCAGCATATCCCAATCCGTGAGAGTGACAATTACTACACGTTGGCTGATGTGATAGCAAATGGACAAAGCTTACATGGGGAACACATTAATGTCATGGTACTTCTCAAAAAGGTGAGTGTTTTCATCTTTGTTAATATCCTCTGTATCATTGTAATTGTCATTTTTATTCACGTCATTGCTATTAATGTCAGCACCACTACTGTCCTCTTTTGATTATTGTCATTATTGTTTTCATTACAATGAACCATCTTTATCATTTTTATCATTGGCAACAAATAACTGTTTGAAATGGTACCTCCTATAATTGAATTACTTGGATTTGCAAGAATTTAAAAAAAATGTGATTTTGTGTATCATTTTTTTTCTTCAGAATGGGATCCCAAAGGACATTGTTACAAAGACCGGTAAAAAGATGCAACGATGCGAAGTCAAAATGTATGATGAGACCTGCCACTCCTTTTCACTTGTTCTGTAAGTCAGTTAAATATGTTTTGATTGAGACACTTTACATGGGTTTTGAGTTGTTCATACAAAAAATCTCAAAATTAGACAATTTTACAATTGTTACAGGCTTAAATTTTAATTTTGATATTTTCAAAATCATTTTTCAGATGGGACACAGACAACATAGAGCTTGTCCAACGTTGGATTCCAAATGAGACAGGTGATTATGATTTGCTATTCACATTTTGTTCACAACAAATGACAACAACAAAAGTGGTATTTGCCTTGATTTTTTTCATTTCTCCTCTTTGATTACCTCCTTTAGTTGTGTTTGCAACTGACATCATGGTGAAGTATGATAACTTCCGGTCATGCATGATGGGAACGGTTGATTCCAAGACAATTTTCATCACTAACCCAGGTATTAAGGAACCACCATGATCTGCAGTTTTGTCTCAGATGTCAAGTTTCATATTAATTGTGATGTGGAAGAATAAAAACAAGCTACAATCCCCATCTTGGTATTAATTGAGTTTGGGTCGGGGCGTGCACACATCCTTTTCAATTTGACTAGAGCTAAGAACCTGAACTTAAGCACACAAAAAAGAAATAAAACCAACTCATATACCCTTTTACTGTAATTTTGCAAAGAGTGTTCATAAAGAAATGATTTATCAAACAAATTAATGTATTCTTTTACATTTGGTAGACACACGTGAAGCACATGCTCTGTTCAAGTTTGGCCAGTCACGTGATCCAAATGAGGACCAATTAGATGAGGACTCAAGCAGACCAGATACTGATTGTAAGCAGAGAAAATATAAGTTGGTTGCCATTCATGGTATTAAGAGTGGAGATTGTAAGAAAGCACACTCACTTTTTAATCAAATAAGCAACAGTGTATTACAAATGGAGAAAGAAGGGCAAGGCCTTGATATATACAAAGAATGGGTCATTGATTAAGAGTGCTACACCACTGCAAAAAGTAAAGCAACTCGTCAATTATTGTTGTGAAAAAAATATTTTGGCTGCAAAAGTTGTAGACCGTAAGAAACACTTAAACAAACTTGAGAATTACAAAATGAAATTGATAAGAAGTGATGTGGATGCGATTAAAAGTTTGCCCTTTTGCAGAAACATGTGGGCTTATAGACAGATAAAGCTTCATCAAAAGAACAAGCAAACACAAACAAACAAAATCTGATTTCTTTCTTGTCAGTGAGTAACATCAAGGAGGTCTACAAAGTGGATCAGATCAAATGTCTGGCTGCAGAAAGACCAGACGGCTCAAGTGGCGTTGATTATGGCATCACCTATGTCTTCCTGGCAGCGTTCGACATTGACAACAGTTCAAAGAACTGTGTCTCTATGAGATGGTGAGGCTTAGTGTCTTATTTGTAGGTTTTTCCGTGCAGTTTTTGTCATTGTGTTTCTTTTGATATTCTTCAATTCCAGCATTTGAAAGCCACATCAGCCGGCTTTCTTACATGCATCACCCATGATATTTTGATTTGTCCTCATCTACAGTTCAAGTTGCAAGCGCCGTGTCGACAGCACCAGCTTCACGTGCACCAACCCCAACTGCCCGTCCTCTGTCTCAGGTCAAACAGAGACGGTCATGACCTTTGACATCTTGACTGACCTCTCAGATGCCACAGGCACACTGAGTGGATGCTACCTGGGTGGAACCCAAGCTGAAGAAATGTTGCAATGCACGGTAAACAACAATACAACATAAATACAACATAAACAAAACGATCAAGATTAAGGAGTTAAATTGAAAGGCTTCTTCACTCCAAGAAGTTTACACAATTTGTTTGCAAGAAGTATGATGGACTGGGACCTATGGAAATTATGGAAACACGTTTGTATAGGGTTGGATGGTTGAAATCCTTCAAAATCTCTCACATATTTGGTTTAAACAGCAGATACCCAGGTTAAAGTCACCCCTCCATAAACTAGTTATATTTGTATTTTAAAACCACCCAAAAAACTGAATAGCATTTGTGGAAAGGTGGCTCAGTTTGTAATGGAAATTTTTATATGTAGCACGATATGAGACGGAGGGAACCCCCCCCCCTTCCTTTGTGTTGGTCATTGTTTTCCAAACTCAGGAATTCTTTTGAGATATCTAGGGGGATGAGTCTGGTAACAATAGTCTAGGGTGTGTATAGGGTATAGGGAGATGGGGGGTACCCCTTCATTTCATATCGTGCTAGAAATAGAACATTTTGTGGCCCTCTTGAGGAATTTGCCATTTACATCGGTGATGATTCTTGTACTCTTCTGACATTCCAGACTGATGAATTTCTGCACTACACAGAGCAACAGAAGACCGATCTTAAGTGGAGGTTCCTGCTGGAAAGATGCAAGCTGTACTTCAAGGTAAACAATTCATAATCCTCTGTAGATGGTTAGAGAACCTGGTTAGGATTGACGTTTTCAAAGTGGAGACACAACAAAAATTACATTTCACCAATTATGCTCTATTTTTTCCTATTGTTCCCCTATTCGGCACTCAGAATACAGTGAAATCTCAATAAGTCAAACTCTGATGTCTCAAAACTGTTAAGTGAATCCATTGCCTTCAGTAATACAACCCTGCAGAACTCTGCTTAGTCAAATTTTGAACCAGTTCCCTTGAGGTTTGACTTATCAAGATTTCACTGTAAGTGATTCTGTCAGTTGTTTGATCTCACTGTTTATACAGCTTTGCTGGGTAAGGTGATCTGTTGTATTTTCCTCACTTGCTGTGTCGTATTTATCTCTTTTTTTCCCAGATTTCCAGGTACGGAGTGAATAGTTCTCGACGCATTGTTCGCATTCTCTCCTGCAGTCTTGCTGATCCCACTGAGATTCTGCCACATCTCTAGACAGGAATGGATTGAGCAGCAATGGTAGGTGGAACCAACTGCCATTAAGTTTGTCTCCCCCTCCCCTTCATCCCCCCACCCCCGGCCCCCCACCAATAAAAAAACAATTACATCAAACTACTCAAAGACCCTATAAGACCTCATGATGTTCTTTGTATTTTACATTCCTAAAATACTTTTATTGTGAAAAAAAATGTCAAGCTCGATATAAGAAACTGGATATCTGCAGCACAGTTCACTTTCTTTTATCAAATATTAACGAATATTTATTGAAAAATATGTTGTGATAAAACGATAAACATTATTTATTATCCATCTACAGTAACAGTTGATATATTTGTTAGCAAAGAAGAAAAATAGTAAATTCCACTATTTATATGTAAAATAATACAAAAATATTTTAAATGTTCACTGTTAAAAGGTAAACTGCCTTTTTCGTTCTAAGTTATAAGTAAGACTGATACTTCAACCTTTTCATATAGTTTACCTTGCACTATTCCTTATTCTATTTGTTCATTCTTTCATTTAAAATTTAACCAAGATTCATCAACAGTACACCTTTACAAATACTTATTGCAAACATTTGTTGATGCAAGTACAGCACAAATGTAGGCACAACAGTGGTTTGAACACAAATCAACAATAACCTAGCTTTCTGTTAGTACGTGAAATTTAAAGGGCAATTCTGTTGATAATATGTCAAAGATTTTGGATGTTTACAATCTACATGCAGTACAGTACTTTAAACACTGTAGTTTTCTTTTAACAGACTAAAAATAAATACATTTGTGTGAATGTCAAAATTGCTTTTAATTCTAAATGCTACATCCCTCCATGTTTCACAGTGTTTACATGTCGGTGAAGGGCAAAACCTTATATTGATTTACATCACCCTAACGCAAAATTAAATCTTGTGAATGTTTCACACTTATAAAAAAAATTAGATTTGTCAAAACCATTTACTTTATGAAAATACATTCGCATATTAGCGCAGTTGTGACAGATTTTTGATAAGGCAAAAAAAAAATTTCTGCTTCCGATTGCATGGCATTTTAAAATTGGGTAGGTAATTTTGTTTTTGTAGGCGTTTTTTGTTGTTGATCATATGCAGGTGTCTGCGTTATTAGTATTTTTTTTTGGCCTTAGGATACACATCTCTAAACAACATAAATTAACTTGCTGCAATTATGAAGCATATTCCAACGATCAGATATTGAAGAATGGTTTTGCCAAAACAAGATCAACATTTGACATTGAATCTAAATTTAACAGCATCAGAAAATATGCTTAAAAACAAGCCTTGAAAATGTCTGGCATCTAATCCACCTCCTCCACAGTAGGTCCTTGTTGACAGCCTCCACCAGTACCCTGCTGGTTCTCTGGCTTCCCTGCGTTGTATAACTTAGCCATCACAGGTGAACACACCTTCTGAAGTTCCTCTAGTTTGTATTGATACTCCTGCTTATCAGCCAGATTGTTGTTATCTAGCCAAGCTAGAGTCTCCTTCAAAGAACTATCTGCTTTTTCCTTGTCCTCGACTGCTATCTTGCTCTGCAAAGCTTCTTCATTGAGGGTTGATTTCACACTGAAGATGTAGTTCTCCAAGTTGTTCCTTGAAGTGACGCGTTCTCTTTGAGCCTCATCTTCGGCCTTGTACGTCTCAGCATCTGACACCATCCTATCGATGTCTTCCTTGGACAAGCGGCCTTTGTCATTAGTGATGGTGATCTGGTTGCTCTTGCCAGTACTCTCATCTTTAGCTGAGACGTTGAGTATACCGTTAGCATCAATGTCTAAGGAGACTTCAATCTTGGGTACACCGCGAGGAGCTGGAGGGATGCCAGCTAGCTCAAAGATGCCCAGACGATTGTTGTCTTTTGTCATAGCTCTTTCTCCTTCATAGACTTGGATCGTAACTGCAGGCTGGTTGTCAGCATAGGTGGTGAATGTCTTGGATGTCTTGGTTGGGATGCGGCTGTTTCTCTCGATCAGTTTGCTCATGATACCCCCAGCAGTCTCAATGCCAAGTGAAAGAGGAGTAACATCCACAAGAAGAACATCTTTGACCTCTGCACTCTGGTCACCACTCAAGATAGCTGCCTGTACAGCAGCTCCATAAGCTACTGCCTCATCTGGATTGATGGATCTGTTCAAGTCTTTTCCATTGAGGTAATCTTGCAACAGCTTCTGAATCTTGGGGATTCGTGTGGAGCCTCCAACCAGCACAACCTCATCGATGCGATTCTTGTCAACTTTTGCATCCACCAATGCCCGCTCTACTGGGTTAAGGCACTGACGGAACAGATCAGCACATAGCTCCTCAAAGCGAGCTCGGGAGATGGATGTGTAGAAGTCAATCCCTTCAAAGAGAGAGTCCACTTCAATACTTGCTTGAGTGCTGCTTGAGAGAGTTCTCTTGGCTCTCTCAGCAGCTGTCCTCAGTCGACGGAGGGATCTTGGATTTGTGGTCAAGTCCTTCTTAAACTTCCTCTTGAATTCTCCAGCCAGGTGGTTGACAAGACGATTGTCAAAGTCCTCACCACCAAGATGAGTATCGCCGGCCGTGGAGAGAACCTCAAACAAGCCATCCTCAATAGCCAGGACAGACACATCAAAGGTGCCACCTCCTAGATCAAAAATCAGAACATGCTTCTCCCCTTGCAGTTTTTTGTCCAGTCCGTAGGCCAAGGCGGCAGCTGTGGGTTCATTGATGATCCTGAGAACATTGAGACCAGCAATCACTCCGGCATCTTTGGTAGCTTGTCTCTGGGAATCATTGAAGTATGCTGGTACAGTGATGACAGCATCTGTAACCTTATGCCCAAGATATGCCTCGGCTGTCTCCTTCATCTTAACCAGCACCATGGAGCTGATCTCTTCTGGAGGGAAGGTCTTAGCCTCATTCATGTACTCAGCTTGCAGCATGGGCATCCCTTGTTTGTTGATCACCTTGAAGGGCCAGTGTTTCATATCTGCTTGGACCGATGCATCATCAAACCGACGGCCAATCAGACGTTTAGCATCAAAGATTGTGTTCACTGGATTCCTGTAGCAAGACAAAAAAAGAAGACATTTCAGATTAATAATCGTCACCTAACAAAGGTCAAGTAACTTTGAAAATTGGTAGGAAACCACAGAGTTAAAGACCAAAGTTAAAAAAACAGGTAAAAGTTTCGCAAATTGTGAAACAAACAAATCAAACCATTATCCTTTATACATTTTAGTACCAAAATTTTTTTTTTCCAATGATCAAAAAATTCAATCTAAATTTTTCAAAATTTCATTCAGTGTACATCAAATATCAAATCTAAATTTTTCAAAATTTCTATTGTACATCACATATTCAATTTGTTTGAAAGTTTTAGTCAGACATTACATTTTGATTCAACACTTTTTCAAGTGGATGATCAGGGAATCTTTTGAATACATCCAGTAAATTCAGAAGAAAAATTAAAAACGAAATTGAAACTTACATAGCAACTTGGTTCTTGGCGGCATCTCCAATAAGTCTCTCCGTGTCGGTGAAGGCGACATAACTGGGTGTGGTACGATTGCCTTGTTCATTGGCAATGATCTCCACTTTGCCATTCTGGAAGACACCTACACAGGAATACGTCGTGCCTAAGTCGATGCCGATAGCTGGGGTTTTAGACGGTGCCATGGTCGATGGAAATAATGTGAGGCTAAGTTGTGGTGGTGATACGATGAGCGAGTGTGTAGCGTAAACAGGACGGGATTCCGGTCGTTCTCTCTGGTAAAGCTGCGGTAGGTTACTCGGTAGGATATCTCTGCTGTACTGCAGTATGAAGAACAATTTCCGATTTTGCTTGGTCTCGCCATTTCACCTGTTTTTTAAGCGATTTTCGAGTTTTCTCGAAATTTCTACTATCAGCGCGAAGTTCCAATTTTAGCTCATCATTACGCTGCAATCATCATAATGCCACAATGCATGCGTCATGTGTCGAGAAACTTCCAGGGATTTCCCCGAAACGAGTGCATAGCGCCCTCTATAGTTGAAATCTCTAAGAAAAAAGTTCTCGAACCTTCGAATTAATATTATCCGCGCTATAGTTTAGTTTTATTATTTTAAAACTGGAGGAAATTCCAAAGTCGTACAAAGAAATCTTTGAGACTGATTTCAAAAAGAAAAAATACAACTGTTGGAGGGAAAAGGGGCAATTTATTTCATTATACATGCATATTTTTAACCCTTAAAAGTGTTTGATATTTTGACAATTTTTTCACAGCCTCTGGCCCAGATTTCAGCCATGGAATGACAGATTATTCAAAGACATCAGCAACGTTTCTAGAACTGTCCTTTACAAAACAAAAGTGGGATGAATTCAAATTTAATACGAATAATGTTTTAAAAAGAATACTCTTGAATAGATTGTTATGTGCCAGCCCCCGCCCCCTCGATATTCCCACCGTGCTTTCTCCACAGGGATCGTGTCATATCCCCGGCGCGTATACGCGTATCATTCTTTGAAAATCTGCGAAATCGTATCCTCTTAAATAAATTCATCTGAAGTCGCATAAATAATTACATCAACATAAACATCGTAACACATTCTTTTTGTGCAAACTTAAAATTTAATGTGTTCCTTCTGCGACCGTTTTACAAAATTCAACACAACCTCATTATAATTAATTGGATTAATACTAATAGACAATCATATTTTAGACGCAAACTCAAAATTAGCACTTTTAGTTGTCTGTTACATTTGTGACCATATGTACCATAAGGTATTCCGGTATTTTGTTTCCAAATCGACATCAGGAAGATCATCTTTCATTGTTACCCTAGCAACGGGTCATTCCGTAAGTGATGGGACTGGGGAACACACGCGGTGTTTTTTTATGTCGTCGGGCCGTTGGCTGGCTGGATGGATACACAGTGCATATGCTGATTCGGGCATTGCACTGTACCGCGATGAAATCGGTAATTAAGCATATCGGTGGCACTGGCTGGCCTCCGTAATATAATCACCATGCAACCAAGCTCCAGGAAATGATGGAAGGTATAGATATTATACATGAGAGCATTTTTCATCAAGATAAAGCAAGTCTCAAGCGATGCATAGATGAAGCAAGTAATGTATAGAGAAATGGATGTTGAGCCGGATTCATTATAGCTTCAGCAAAAAATGCTTACTGTCCTGGGATTAATGTTTGAATGTTTTCGAAGACAGGGGAAACAAATAATACTGATCAAACAAAAACTCCAAATTTGAGATTAATAAGACAAAAATGCTTGTCGGCTATAATCATCGAAATTGTGTCCTTCACACACTGCTTGTCGTCTGCAAGCACTACGTACCGAGTCGTGGGGTAAATTAATCATTTCATTTTATAGCGATACAATTGGAATTGAATTGAATTGAATACATTTGTCACACACATTGGGCTGTATAAATATACAGTGAAATGCTCTGTGATTGTGCGTGCCTAAAAACATTAAAAAATACATCTAAACTGATCACACAAAAACACAATTGTGTGTGAATGTTTGAATGCAACTTTATATAAAGGGTTGAGAAAATGTCTGAAATTTATCATTGCAATCACCATACATGCGATCATTTTGGGGTCCAGCCACTGTGATTATCAAATTGATATTTAAAATAATAAATCGCGAAAATGTATTATGACTTCTTTTTTTTTTTTTTTAATATATACCATAAACTTATTAATTCACCCTGTATCGCATTGTTGAAGTTAGCGAGCGCAACGCCATGCCTAATCCTACAGATTGACAATTTTCTTGTTTTTGCTTTATGACATATGGAAACACACAGACAATGACTGAGAGATAGAGTCCAAAATCTCTGCCTTGCTCTGAGGATTCGTTAAGTGTGTGTCCAGCCGTCAAGTAGATGCCATGTAATTTTTGATTCATCTTACAACGTCGAACACACGTCTGTGTTTACATAGATCTTCAGCTGCACCATGTCCTCTTGTATGAGTGTACAGTCCTCTGGTTCCAGCTAAGAGGTGTTTTGATAAATATAAAAGGCCACAGTGAGTCATATCGAATATTGCAAGTATCTGTATACAACCTGCATCAGAACTGGCCCTCAAAGAGAAGAACATTTGTGTCGGCGTTCATTCCTGTTGTATGCCATTCAATCTGCGGTAAAGACGTGATTTTGTATGATAAGTATGTTTGCCTAAATGCTAAGTCCAGGACATGGTTAATATAGATTTGTTTGCGATATTCAATCAATAATAAGTGCCCAAATATATCGGATGACGAAATACATCCAAACCAATTTAAAAATAGGACAAGGCCTATGCAATAAACATGACAGAAAAATTAACACATATTTTGTGGGGAAACAAAATCCAAGACTCAGCCAAAGGTAGTATAAATATTATGATTAACAGTTTCGAACACCTAAAAACAAAATCTTTACGGCTCAGATTTGATGTCCAAAACATCCTCACTCTCATTATAAATTGGTGATGTAAAAAGTGAAATAACAAACGCCTACAATTAATTCAGGACTGACACTGAAATTAAACTCACCGTGCCGTAAAAATAGCTATTGAATAGGATAAATTTACATACATGAAAATAGTTAAGTTAAGTGAATCTCTTACATATTTATACATATTTGTAATACTGAAACAGTCGTCATATCATCCTCCGATTCTTTTTATAATAGACATTTTTGTATATTTCCCAACACAGTTGGTGAGATAATAAGATTCAAGGCCTTAATTACCAGTACCGTGTGGCCTCTTGACATTCATTTTTTGACGGTCAATTTTATCGGTGGCATTGAAAACCACGACACAATGTAATACAATAAAGTTTGCTATAAAACACGATAAAATCTCGCACGCGCTCGTTGGCTGAATTGTAATTTGATTACAAAGCGATCGAGATTTAATTGCGAGGTGCACGTCCCTGTGAGAAATGTGCATAATAGACCACAAATTCTTTGCTGCAAAATGTCATTGTATATTTCGGATGATATTCGTCAACCGGACTGTTCAAAGCTTGACAGCCTTGCTCGGTCATTAGGTAGATTGTATTTTTTTTCCTCATTTTTTTTAAATTAAAATAACTTAGCTTTTGTTCTTCTCAGATTTAAAGTAGCTTTCCATCTATCACTTGCGAATTGTCTAATTTGTTTTTAACATTTAACTTCCATGCTGGCAGTTAATGAAAATAGAACAAATTGAAAGATTCCTCACTATACTTTTAAGATTATGGGGGAATGTTCTTAAAGTATTTTCGTTTACGCGTTTTTGTGGGTTTTTTTCGGGGGGGGGGAGTAAACAATGCATTGGGGATGGCGGCCGCACCCCTTCTTTATCGATTCAGCAATGCCTGACTTATCTCAGTCAAAAGCCTCGTATTGTTGAATAATATTCCTGTATTATAATCGCCATAACACTCTTCATTAAAAGGATTATCATTTACCTATGGATATATTATATAACGGCAAGCTAATAGGCTTATCGGTTGATATTGATAAGTAAAGTCTCAACTTTCCTGAAATAAAAATAATTCCATCCTTATTTGCTATTCAAGAAAATATATATTAATGTTATGAGTGTATTTACATTTATATTAAGTGCATAATTTGATTAAAACATATCGTTCACACTGTTCATTGTTGCGAAGTTATTTTTTCTGGTCCCTGAGACTTTTGAAGGTGCGTTCGAACTCAGGGCTACAAGGGAAACATGGTGTTGGGATGACCATGAGTGGCTTGGCTGGCTTGAGTATAGAGACACCTGTGAGGGGTAGGGTCGCCTGCATGCCACGACTATCCTCAGCTTTCAAGCGAGCTGTGGCTGGGTGGACGGGCCGTCCCCTCTTGCCAGAAAACCGTACGTGTAGCCTGCCTCGTCGCGGGAGAAGAACCTTGCTGTCCTGGCTGATTTCCTCTCCTAGTACCTTGTATCTTGAGGATGGATGTTTCAATTGCAATGATTGGTTAGCACGGTGAGCAGCCCAGTTGTTAGTAAGCCACCGGTCATCCACGATTCGAGCTCCCCCGAAGGAAACTTTCTTGCCTTTGTTGTTTCCCTCAGAGCCGGTCACATCGTCGTCTTGACGCCCATGCTCTCCTGCTCGTCCTACCTCCTGCGTGTCTTGTAATGCTCCCCGCGGTTCCTTTGACTTGGATTGGTTCAGCTCTGCAGGTGTTCTAGATTCCTTCCCGTGGATCTGTTTGGGTATCGGAGGGAGTCTGTTTGATGTCACCATGAGTGGTGGCTCGGAGTGTTTGTAAACTTTCCCCTCATCTCCGATCCGACAGCGTCGCAGCCGGCAGATGACACCAGCATCGTCAACGTCCTCCCCACATTTGATCTGTAATGTACCAGTTGGGTGTCTGCGATATCTAGTCTCCTCAGACCCAGTCCCATCGACCAGATGACAGTCTTGACAGATCTGCTCCCTGTGTCTTACCGTGCGTCTCAAGGTTTGACCCGCCGTTTCTTCTAGTTGCCTCGTCGAAGATGCATGCAGGAGCCTCTGCGGTGTGCGGAATTTATAATTCTCGTACATGGAGCAAATCTTGACTAAATCTTCGCCCTTCATGCTGGGTTGTCAGTGTATCAGTGCTGCATATTATAAACTAAGGTGTCAAAGCAATTCATTGCGTGGTTTTAGCGAAGATATTATGCCTGTACTCAGGACATATACGTGCATCCTCCTCAGCCGACAAGTCAAGTATGTCGTCATCTCACGGTTGACTACAGTGACTTGATGAGCGATGTTGCTGTAAACTCCTACACGGCTGCACGTGTCTACGCGTCATCCTAGGACACTTGGCGCGCATATCTCGGTTGTCATTATCCATCGGTTCGTCCTCCCTGCCTCCTCTCCTCACTGATTTCGTCTTAATGATGCACATGTCTTCCGAGGGGGCCGCATTCCTGTCTCAAGATACATACAACGGAAACCTCATCCCACGCCTTATATCACTAATTACATCTCCCTGGGTGCTTACATATCCCAGCGCTATAGCATAATGAGTTCCCGTGGTATTATGCAAGACCGAATATGCATTTTGATCCGCTATCAACGATAGTGTTATAAAGCATAGAAAAGAAAAGCTAGGATTACAACACGATGGAAAAAATATGTGTCACGCAACGAATTAACTAAAGACGATACAGATAAAATAAAAACCAGCTGTGGTATAAACACTAAGATAATTATTTCCAACAAAACCTCCATAATAGGAGAGGACAAAATACAACATATTAAAATAAAAATTATATAAAAATAGGTCACAGCGAAATACCTGATAAAAAAAACATAAATATAGATATAATGTTAAACATTGTTTTACCAAAACATCTTTCAACCTTTTAATGTGATGAAACAGTATCTTCAACATCTACAGAACATCAGTAATGCAATTTTTGTTATAATCAGTGGCACGAGACTCCCGGTACGGCAAGATATTGAGTCGCGCATGTTATGGAACAGGAAAACCGTATTTTTTGTATATATCAACTCAATAGTCTAGTACGCGTACATTCGTCAAAAGGCGAAAAGCAAAACAAAATTGGAAGACAGAGAGACGATTTAAGAGTGAACAATTAATATTTGGCGCCAAATTAAATCGAGCAAAAAAACCTCAACTTATCCCGGTGCTCGGATGCTGTACTTATTGGCAATCAGAAACACTGGCCCAATGTTCACAATTTTCATACTTGATTTTTATTGCATATTTGATATGATTTATCAGCATCTCCACCAGGCTCTGAATATTGACGTCGGACACACAGAATTCTCTTTTAATAATGTTACTTTCCATGACGGTAGTAAATGAAGACTAGTGATGGTCAGACACGACCCAATCCTTTAATGCACCGTTTAGTATTCTTTCACACGTACAACATGCTTTTTTAATTACAATGATTGTGTTTTTTAGTGCGGGACAAATTCGAGCCCTGCTGCGGCCAGGCAATTATCCCCGCACTGCAGGCTGCCTTTCCGCCCCACCCAAACCCAACCTCATCTCTGTTGAGAACATATCTTGCATCGTGCTAATTAAATGCGAAGTTCTCTCATACCCTCCGCCATATATTCAAAGTTACATGCGATCGCAAAGCACTGAATGCAGTTACAAGATTTAAAATATTGTCCAAAGATTTACAATCAAATTTATAGAGTATTCTCCCCCCCCCCCCCATTTTTTGTTTGTTATGATTCATTTTCATTTGTTGTTACTGTGTTTAACTATTGTTATTTTTTGTTTTATTTATTATATATGTATTAAACATGTGTATTTGACTTAATTATTTCCCGTCATGTATCTTACTGCCAGTTACTGAAAAGCTGGAATCAATACAGAACGTATTTATAACTCATACAACGCACGCTCCGATCCAGGGGTCATCGTGACGTATATAATGACGTATATGCAAATATCAAGGCAAAACACGACAAACAAAATCACACATTGAATAGTACAGTCAGACAAACGCCGTTATCAACAAGATTTGTTCCAATCGTTAACAACGTGGCATTGAACACAGCAGATGAGACCTTCTTCAAAGCAATCAACCTGAAATGTGTGCTTCTTAATTACCGACAAAACAGCTCCTTAATTCAGTTAAAAATGCGAATACTTTCCCATTCAATCCCTAGCATTACATCTTATATCATTTCTATAATCTGTACAAATTTATGGTCACTGCCAGTGGCATTCTTAAAATTTTTATATATTACAATTTGAAGGTTGAATTTGAAAATGACTGAATAATTATTTGAAAAGAAAATGACAATGTTTCATAAAAGAGTACATGTAGGTTCATTCATTCATGCAATGTAAACTTATCATCATACCTCTACCGCGCCGATAGAGGGCGGTATACTTCAGCGTCTCGTTAACGTTTTCTGAAATTTTCAACATGGCGAAACATCATCCTGATTTGATTTTCTGCAGAAAGCAGGCTGGTGTGGGTAAGTTGCCGTGAATTATGAACTGATTATTATGTTCAATTAATAAACATACAGTTGTGTATAAATTGTGAACACAATTTAACAATAAATTGAAGAAACAGTGGACGAAATTTAGAATACGCAGTGTGTCCAGATTTCGGACATGTCGGACATGTGGGACCAGCATGACCAGTGGGGTTCGACAGCACTCGCCAAAGCCTTTTCCCAAATTCCACTGTGCGGGCGCACATCATATTGAACTACATCATTTTATATTTACTTTCGAGAGATAAACAAAGCATATAATGCACACAATACTGTGGTGAGTATTGGATACTAAAGACATGCATCTGGGACTTAGAAACATTTCCAATTTTGTCAAGGAACACTTGGAAAATTGACTTCACTCTCCATCGTGTCCATATTTAGTAGACATTGTACATGTACATAATAGTTTCTAAATGGAAGGTTGTCATTTCACATATTTTGAGGGATGCTCTTAATTTTCTGTTTACAGCAAGAAACTCACAACTGACAATTGATTTTTCCTGTTCTATGTGCTAGCCATTGGCCGTTTGTGTGAAAAAGATGACGGCAAGTGTGTCATCTGTGACTCTTATGTACGTCCCTGTACATTGGTACGCATATGTGATGAGTGTAACTATGGATCGTACCAAGGGCGCTGTGTGATTTGTGGGGGACCAGGCGTGTCTGATGCGTACTACTGCAAGGAGTGTACAATACAGGAAAAAGATGTGAGTATCTTCACCTTAATCATCCCTATCCTTCAGGACGAATTTTGCAGGATTGAACAAGGTAGAGCCCAGCTACTATTTCTTCACTTGACAATAGAGCCTGCAAGTTGACTCCTGGTGGCACACTTCCAGACCCCACGAATATGAACATTAGCCTGTACAAGTCTGAGTTTTTTAAATTTATTTTTAGAACATTGATTTCTTAAGAAAATGTCCCTTGAAAAAGGCCATTGTAAAATTTTTGCTAGCATCTCAATTTAAGGAAACTGAAAATTTTCACAACGTCAAAGAGAAACATTGTGCCAAAAATCTATAATGCATGCAGCTCTTTATACATCGTGAGTGGGAGCAATATCTTATAAGAACCCTGACCAATGAAACAAGGATAGCTGAACAAGTCAACATTTTCTTTATTCTTATACAGAGGGACGGCTGCCCAAAAATTGTCAACTTAGGCAGCTCCAAGACCGATCTGTTCTACGAAAGAAAGAAGTACGGCTTCAAGAAGAGATGATATCACTTACAGGGAGACAACCATTTGGACCAACTGAGGATGCCTGCCCAGATAGGAACAAAGTGACCGATTGATGAGCAGTGACCAGTTATGAATATCTGACCAGTTGAACCCAGTTGCTTTTTAGTAAATAATTCAAATAATGTCATGAAAAGATTGGACTGCATTGAGACTTCAAACAGTTGTAATGAAAGTCCAGGCTTACATGAGATCAGTTCAAGAGTTTTCTGGTCAGTTCACATTGTTTCAAGCTAGCATGGCATTCAATTTCCTTGCATCTTCACTTTGAGAAGTACATGTATGGTCTCGTCTCAAGCGACATATGTTGGTATTGTTCATTGTGTGTATTTGTCTTGACTTTCAAATAAGATCACTCCCCTTTAGACTTAAAAGCACTGATAAAATTCCTAAAGTCCTGTTCAATCGCATTAGATACATAAACAGTTAAAAATGTTTTGCTCTCTACCACTCTTAAAATCGAAAATTAGTTCTAAAGAGTTCACATGTTTCACTTCAGACTAGCGTGACAAAATAAAAGTGACACACAAGTACTGTAATGGAAAATCATTTTTTTTTATCTGCTGTACATATCAAGTTCACATAGGGTGAGGGAGGGGGTCGATACACATGTAGTGGTGTTGGTTTAGGGTATTTGTGTTAAGTTTTTTGTTTTTTGTGTGTGCATGTATGGATGTGTTAACACTGCACAGGTCTCAATTTTTGGCCAATAAAAAACCACAAATTTAAATTTTAACTGGCATAACTTGAGTGTGCATGATTGAGGCGTCAAATTTTAACAATCCATAGAGATATCATCAGCTTTATAGGTGTAATCTACTATCTGTAATTTTTACGGTTTGTAACGTACAACTTTTGCAAACGTGAACAAAACAAAACTACCTAATTATTATGAAATACCATAATAGTGTCGAGCGTCCTGTGAAATCATGGCACCACAAATTTCCATATTCATGAGCAAAAGTGTGATGTCATTTTAGGTCGTAATCTCAATGTTGCAGTTATCTTAGCAGCAAAAGTTGCCGGCGAGAAGCATTGATATTCTGCTGTCTTTAATGTTCTGTTGTGTGGTGATTCGCTGTGAGCAGACTTTTCTCACAAATGCTTCCAATTAACACATTTTTGGGTTCACTATTTGAACAGAAAACCCTAAACTCAACAGTGTCGTCCTGAAATGACATCACAGCAACAGCGCCCTCAGTTGTACGGAAAAGAACAGAACATTTTAAATGTTTCAAAAGTGCACTTTTTAATATAATTAACCAAAAAGGGATGTCAAACAGTTTGCATAAAACAGCAGAAAATATGTTCCTAAGAAAAGTGTTGTCATGAACCCTTTAAATACATGTAATGGAGATTTACGGTAATCAAACTTACAATAGAAACCATGGTCTCAATTTTTGGTCTCGTGAAACTAAGAACGACAATCGAAAAAGGAGTTCTTGATATTCTCAAAATGATATGTCTTTATATCTCTTTCAAAATAACGGATAATAGAAAAATAGAAATCGTTGGTGTTTCTTCATTTTAAATTTAATAAAATACATTGTTTCCATGTCTAAATCAGACAACGTTAGACATCTATGTTCAAGAAACTTTTAAGATACAAATCAACATCGAGGAAATAAATACGAAATGAAGTTGCTCTTTCAGTTGAACTCTGCATTATTAAGTGCCACATTGTGATTACAAAACAACTTGTCTCGCTGGATATAGGTCTCATAACGAGGGTTGCCCGCCCTCGTATCCCAAAAGGGCATTCAAGGATTTTATTTTCTCATCACAGGCAAATGTTTCACTGTTTCCCCGACAGGAAACTTCTTCGGTCAGCCATTATCTTTTCTGTAAACCTCTCTTTATGAAAATAATATTCAGTAACGTGCAATAATGATAATTAATGGAACTTCAAAACCAAATAAAATGAACAAGAAAGAACAAAATTGAACAATTTTCCTTTCAATGGTGGACGCTCTGTTCAGAGATTTGTCCAGGAAAAGTTCATCTGCGTAAGTTGTGCAAACTCCTGGTTATAGGGCCGGAAGAAATCCCTGAGTTGTTGGATGACGTCGGGACCGAGGTCTGCTTTAGGTAGAAACCCAGGGGTACTTGGGTGTGGGCAACCAGACCGCATACAAGGCGCCTGTCTCTTCTCATCGTAGTAGAACATGCTCCTCTTGTAAAATGACTCCAGACCCAGAAACTTCTCCAAGTTCTTGAGTTCACCGTACAGGTCTTTATCCACGCGCTCATGACTCAATATATAGAATCGATCTCTCGGAAAGCTCTGCAACCACCTCTTGAAATGCATGGAGTAGACACTTTCTCTTGTCAATCCTTTGGACATATCTACCTCACCATAACGACTGAAAATCCTTTCCACGAAGTGTTTGGCTTGTGTGGCAGGCGTTTCTCCTCTGGCCATGGAGGGGTTGCGATTGAGCTTCAACTCATATTCGTGTCTGAAGTCCGATATGGTTCTCTCCACGGGATCCCGCACGCATACCACGAACTTGACATTGGGCGGTAGATCCTTCAACATCCTCTTCGGTACATTCTGGAAGATGAAATATGACGGTGATTTCTCAAACTGAAGCATGTTTCGTGAGCTAAACCCCATCCTAGATCGGTAGTAGTCTATGCCTCTTTCGTAGTCAATACTGAAGTAATGTATTTCTTCCAGTAATGCGCGAGCAATCTGTGGATGCTGCACAAGGTAGTACAAAAACGCTGTCGTGCCGCCTTTTTTTACTCCAAGGCAAATGACTGTAGGTAAGCGTTGTTCATAGCCCAGTTTGCGCATGCCGGCTCTGAGCACGGCCCATTTCTTTTGATCATTTAAGTTTGGCCAAATAACTGTAGCCTTCTGCTTGTCATATTTCAGTCCTGTAATGTTCGCGAAGGATGCCTTAACATCTGGGGACATAAACCTGAGTGCATTTCCCAACAGTTGGGATGAGGTGATGGAGTACCGTCCGCCAGTACGAAGAGGGTTAGGCAGAGCAACTGGTTTAGTTTTAGGGATGTAAAGCCTAACTGGTGGGCTTTCCTTGACGATCACTTTCTCGTCCTTGACGATCGCTGTATCATCCTTGACGATTGCCGTGTTATCCTTGGCGATGGCTGTTTCATCCTTGACGCTCCCGATCACTTTCTCGTCCTTGACGATCGCTGTTTCGTCCTCCACGTTCTCGTTGATGATAGCCTCCTCGGCTCGGTCATTCTTCTCGTCTGTTTCTGAATCAAGACCAGGTATCTTCTCATCGTGATTTACGTGCTTTGCCTCGTAAATCGTCCAAACAGACTTGCCACCTGTCTCTTCTATTTCTGCATCAGCTGCAGAAATCTTTTCACTGGGGTTATCCCGGTCGGATCCAGCGGAACCTATGTCGCTTTCTTTCTCGTAGCGGCTTTTTATTTTGGCAACATCAAAACGGCTGACTGGGGCCACGCCTCCCCATCTCTGATATACAAACCATTGGTCTGGTTCGAATACAACCAGTAAATGACCGAGTGTGAAGGATGCTAGACACAGTAAGAATACAGCTCCCTTGGTCTTCAGATTGATTGAAGACATGGTGAAGGTGATTCTCATCAAAGATTGGCACAACCTGGAAGAGCAATTTCATATCATTTCAATATGATTTTCAGATGTTATTTTCATTTTATTTTCCCTAGGGCTTACTATAAATTGGTTTGTAAAGCGGCTGCGGTGTTTGCCCAAAGACATCAGCCCAGCTTGAAGTTGAGGTGTGGCTTTGTGAATGTCCGCTTTGATGTTCGATTTTTGAATGTAGTCCTCTACTGTACTGTACAAAAAACACACTGAAGTTGATCTTATCAACTTGAATGTTTCCTGAAAGTCACCTCTAAAACTGCCTTAATAAAATAAAGTGGCAAACAGCAATAGAAAGAGGCGAATTCTGGTACAATCATGTATGCAGGTGCGGACAAATCCATACGACGATGTTATTTATTAAAGGCCAAACGAAGAAATTTGTGATTATTACAAAGAGTCGTCGTTACGTAATGATCAGTATCTGCAGCCCTACCAATGTACACGAACATGTATTCAACATATAGACTACAGGGCGAGTACAAAAAAAGAAACCCAAAATGGCTGGACCAATTTTTGAATGAAGTGCTTCAAAATGTCCGTAACTTGAAACGTACATGAGTGATTTGAATGATTCTTGTAGTTGTACTAAAAGAAATCTTAATGACTGTGCTTTCTTATCCTAGATTTCAAAAGTGCTACAGGCAGACAGGCAAAACTTCATTCAAAAATTGGTCCTGCCATTTGGGTTTCGGGTTTTTATAGTCACCCTGTGTTATAACGTTTATCGGGTAGCAATACATGGCAACAACCATGAGCAAGCTTACCTGTGTCAAGGTATAAACAAGTTGACAAACAGAACGCACTCTAGAAAGTACCAAGAATCATTCCTTCATCTATGTAAGAAGTATACATGTAGCTGGCTGCGTGTTGATTAATGAGCAGGTACGGACAGCCGCTGTACATGGTCCGGCACTAGGCTACTGTTGTAGTTGTGCGTCACCTGAGCATCCTCCGTGGTCGGAGCTTAACACTCAGGGCCGATTAACCATTCTAACAAACAACATCAATAAGTTAAGTAAAGGATAATGCCCGAGGTACGCGACATTCGTGGGTAAGAATGGCCCGAGGGCGAAGCCCGAGGGCCATTCTTACCCACGAATGTCTTCTTACACTCTCTTTGGGGACGAAAACTCAAGAATAAAATGTTGCATTCGATTGAAATTGCGTGCAATAATTGGCCACGATATTTGACATGAGATGGTATAATCGACTGGAACCGTGGAAGAAAAAAAGCATACAATGACAATAATTAACCAACGGCCAACAGTGTGCTTAAGGACGCTCCTTACTTTTTGCTACTCTCTTATATCTTAATCAAGATCAGTTTGCGGTAGCACCATGTGAATAAATCTCTTTTGTGAGTACAATATTGTGTGGTTCTGAAAAGAACCTTATTTCTTCTTATTTCTTCCTGAAGAGGGCGCCCTACACAAACACTGTTAAGCACCGTAAAAGTTCTGTCAATGCGAATCACAATCTGCCAATCAAGCAAAAATACAACACTCTTTGTGGAGACGATAACTCAAGAACAACATATTGCATTGAATTGAAATTGCCAACGATTATTAACCATAACATTTGACACAACCTGTTTGAAAATTGACGTGAACCGTGAAAGAAAACATTTAATATGATTTAAAGAAAATAGGCCTAAGCGTTTTTATTATAAAAACTCATTCCGAATGTTAGTCTCTTTTGACACTCTTTGTGGAAACGATTACTCAAGAACAAAATATCGCATTGGATTGAAAATAAGTCCAATTTATTGACCATGAAAGGTGACCCATCCAGTCAAATTGACGTGAACCGTGGAAGAATACATTTAATACGATTTAAAGAAAATAGGCCTGAGCGGTTTTAATCACGAAAAATTAATTCCGAATGTTAGTCTCTTCTTAGACTTACACCTTTTTTTTTTGGAGACGATAACTCAAGAATTAAATACTGCATTTCGTTGAAATTGCGTCCAATAATTGGCCACGATATTTGGGTAGTATCGAAAACGAAGACCCCGAAAACGAAGAACGAAGACCCATGACCAAAACGAAGACCCACTCGAAAACAAAGACCCATTCGAAAACGAAGATCCACCCGAAAACAAGCACCCACCCAAAAACAAATTC